TGTTTTTTTTTTTGTACAGCGGATTGAACTTGGGTCCTTGAGCTTGCAAGGCAGGCCACCGAACTGCTGAGCTAAATCCCTGGCCCTACAATGGGCTTTTAAGTTATCATTATTTGATATAAGCATACTTTGCATACTGAACACACAAATCTTTTCTACTTGCCTCACAAAACCTATTCTTTTCCATTTTCTTGAAACATCTCTACAAGTCTAGCTTCCGTTCTCCACCGTGAATAAAGATGTGAGTGCCATATCTTATTTTCCCTTGTATTTGCTATAAGAATAACAACCACACACACACACAAGTATATGACAACCTGACACTCAGAATGTGGGATAAAATAAGGAATTGTGGAGACTATGGCAAACTGGAAAGCACATGCCCCGTGTCTAAAGGTGGCAACTACTGCTTAGTTCCATTGATTGATGTTTTATATTTCCAGAATTTTTTTTTGAGAAATTAGAAAACCGAATATTTACACTAAACTTAATGTTTATTCACATTAACTATATTAGCCATGTGTCCAGCATGTTTGTTTCCCCTCTTTATATAGAGCTTTGATTTTTATTCCAATTTTCAAAGCTTTACTATACTCATCAGCAGTCGTTCTTCTTTTCTCCCCAATTTCTACAGCACTACATTTTCTCTATAAATTTGCCTATGATGGACATACCATACAGAGAAAATCCTACAATATGTGGGAGGTTTTGTGACTGGCGTATACTTAGGAATAGAATTGCTAAATTCTTTAGTTTGGATGTTTGTCCCTCAAAGTTCCATGTGTTGTAGGACAGGTCCTCAGAGTAGTACTGCTGAGATAGTATGGCACCTTTAAGAGCTGGGGCCTAGTGGGTCATTGAGGGTGCTGCCTTCTTCGGAGAATACTAGTTTCCTAGAGGGAATTTTCAAGACAGTGAATTATTATAAAAGCCTTAGCCTGAACCCTCAGTCTTCTTCTGGCTTCCTATATTTGGATGATACCTTGCTCCTACCATTGCCATCCCTCATGATGTGATACAGTCAAGAAGCCCTTCGTCAGAATTGAAGCTAAAAAACTGAGAGCTAAATTCATTTTCTTAATAAGTAATATACCACAAGTATTTTGTTATAATAACAAGAAAATGACTAACACACTGGGTCATATGATAAATTCACATTTAACTTATTTAGGAACTAGCACACTGCTTTCCAGAGCATAAAGTGTACCATACTGCATTCCCATAAAGAGTATATGAAGATTAAAATTTCTCCACAATCTTGCCAGTGTTGGCTGCTATCTGTCTTTTTTTCTTGGGGGGGGGTTTGTTGTTGTTGTTGTTTTGGTACCAGTGATTGAACTCGGGTCCTTGCACGTGCAAGGCAGGCCACCGAACCGCTGAGCTAAATCCCCAGCCCTCTGTCTTTTTTATTACAGCCCCTTTAGTGGACATGAAGTGTTTGCTCACTGTGTTTTGATTTGCATTTTCCTAACAACCAACAATGTTGAGCATCTTTTCTAGTTCTTATTTCACAGTGATTCCGATGACACTGAAGTTTGAGAACCAGTACAATGTCTGGAAAAACTTCAAGATTCCTTTAGACATTAGTGATTCCATAAAGATAAAGCCAGAGAACCACATAATTTGCAAAACTGCACCCATTCATTCCTTCCTGTTCTACATGACTGGCCTGCAGGTTGACCTAGCCTAACTCCTGTTTCATAAAGCCATATCTTATTCCCTTTTAGCTACTTCCTTTAAAAATTAAAATAACTAATCCCCAGCCCTGTCTTTTTTATTACAGCCGTTTTAGTGGACATGAAGTGTTTGCTCACTGTGTTTTGATTTGCATTTTCCTAACAACCAACAATGTTGAGCATCTTTTCTAGTTCTTATTTCACAGTGATTCCGATGACACTGAAGTTTGAGAACCAGTACAATGTCTGGAAAAACTTCAAGATTCCTTTAGACATTAGTGATTCCATAAAGATAAAGCCAGAGAACCACATAATTTGCAAAACTGCACCCATTCATTCCTTCCTGTTCTACATGACTGGCCTGCAGGTTGACCTAGCCTAACTCCTGTTTCATAAAGCCATATCTTATTCCCTTTTAGCTACTTCCTTTAAAAATTAAAATAACTTTTAAAATTAATTGTACTATTGTATATTTAACCAAGGAAATAGTACCATCTTCTAAATTCATTATCACAATGGCTAATACTGTTTTCTTGAAATAAGAGTACATGTGTGCACAGATATATTTAATTGTTAACAAAGCCATAGAAAAATAGTAGTCTTAGAGAAAGGGAAAACCAATTCTGTACCTTTCTTGATCCATCAGCAGTTTAGCAATGTTCAGACAGAAGTCTAGAGGCATACCAAGATGTAGTATTTCCATGAGAGCTAATAAAGTGAAAAGAATGAAATAATTATAACAGCTTTTAGGAAGTTTAGCTACTTTTCAGTTATTTCCTCTATTAAAAATCTATGTATTGAATATTTGCCATATAGTTTGACTAAAAATTTCTAGAAAAAATTTAAATATTAATATTTGATGCTAGAGATTAGTGATACAGGCCTTTTATATAGATGGCAAAGTAAGCTGGTAAAATCAGGCAATATTGAAAAACAACTTGGCAATAGTGTACGCTAAGAATATTGTGGTTAAGAGCTTGGGATCCAAACTTAGGCAGACCTAAATTTGAAACCACTTGCCTTGCTGCTTGTATGGCCATAGGAAAGTTACTCAATTTTTCTGTACCTTAGTTTTATCACCTATAAGATGGGAAATACACCACCAATCTCTTAGCATTGTTGATAGAATTACATAAGGTAATTTTACCTATGGAAATTATATAGCAATGCACCTAGCACTTTAAAAACGTTCAAGGAATGGTAGCTGCTGTTACATTTATTTCCTTTAACTCAGAAATTACATTTTTAAAAAGTTACCTGAAATAAATGTGGTAAAAACTTTACAAATAAATAGATTAAAAGCAGAGTACATTATGACAAGAGAAAGAAAAATATACTCTGAATTAACTAGGGAGCAGCCTCAAACTATTATGCAACCATTAAAATTGATGAGTATAAAATAACATGGAAAAATGAATGTACACAAATATAAAAATGTTTCTAGGACTAGTAAGTAAAAATTTAACAAGATGATATGGTTACAATTCTGTAAAATATGCAAAACAAACAAAGAAAAAGTACTGAAAATTGAAATTATTAAATGTGTCTAGATTTAATGATCTATTCCACAAATATTTAATGAGTATCTTCTCTCTGTCAGGTAACATTTTGGTGTGGGAAACCCAGAATTGAGCAGAACACACAAAAATCCATGTTGTTGCTAAGAATGGTAGAATGCCTGTCATCCAGGTACTCCAGAGGCTAAGGCAGGAGGATCACAAGTTTGAGCTCATCTCTACAACTTAATGAGACCACATCTTAAAACAAAACAATAAAACAAACAAAAAAAGGCCAGAGTTGTAGCTCACTGCAAAGGCCCTGGATTCAATATTCAGTATAGGGAAAACAAAAACAAAACCTGGTAGAAAGGAGCTTGCACTTTAGTGAACAGAGGAAGTATGGGTGTTTTTAGTACCTTCCAAATATTTCTTTGATGAGTATATAATATCCTTTCACAATAACAAAATTCAATATTTTAAAATTTTCACTTCTTCTATATTAAAAAACCAGTAAAATTCTAATGCCAGTAACTAGGCTAATCATTCAAAGAATAATATTCTTTTGCTAGTAAATAAACACAGAGACTTGGGCTGAATGCCACTCAGGGATAGAGTACTTTTCTAGCATGTGCAAGGCTCTGGGTTCTATCCTAGCATCTCAGAAAAGAAAAAGACTACAAAAATGAAATTTTATGCATTCTCTCAAAAAATAAATAAAAATCTATTTTACTGTTTTAAAATATAAAAACCTTGCATTTCAGGCATGTCTCCTAATTTGTAATTAAACGTTGTTATTCTGAACAGAAAGAGTCCCTAGTTTTAGTAAAACAACACAGGAATAAAGAATAATTTCAGCCAGGCATGGTCCTATATCCCTATAATCTCAGCACTTGGGAGGCTGAGGCAGGAGGATCACCAGGAGTTCGAGGCCAGCCTAGGCTACATAGTGAGTTCAAGACCAGCTTGAACTACATAGTGAGACCCTACCTCAAAACAAACAAAACAAGACAAAAAAGAGAATAATTTCACTTTAATCTCTCTTTGTTACACACATTATAAACAGTGTAATGAGGAACCCTAGTCTAAAATTAATCAGCTTAAAACTTGGTGACTCAGATAATATGCCTGGTTTTTCTACATTGTATTAGTTTGAGTAAGTCTATTCAATTAATGGGTTGGTTAGTTGATTTGTTTATTCTCCTAATGCAAAAAAGTGGCATTGTCTCCCTGCTTACTAAATTTCCAACCTCTGTATGCTGAGGTGATACTCCTAACCTATACATACAGAATCCTCTATGCATTTGAGATTCTGAGGTCCCTTAAGTGATTGGCTAAAATTCTAGCGGTCACAAAAGGATTTAGCAATGCTAAATTAGGACAAGGTTACTGAAAATTTGATTATTGTTTTAATTATTATAAATTGTTATTTTTTGGGGGGTAATCAGTAATTATAATAACAATTTTATATAGTACAAGTAATGCAGCTCTTACAGATTGCTGACATTGGGCAGCGGATTTAGCTCAGTGGCACTGTGCCTGCCACACAAGCACAAGGTCCTGAATACAATCCCCAGCACAAAAATAAAAAAAGATTACTTATATACTCAAGCATTTACACATTAAATAAATTTATAGTCATTTTAAAAATAACTAAACAAGTGCAGGGAATTTAGCTCAGTGGTTCCACCACCTGCCTCAAAAGTGCAAGGTCCCAAGTTTGATCCCCGGTATCAAAAAAATTTTTTTAATAATTAAAAAAAATTACTGCTGGGCGTGATGACACATGCCTGTAATCCCAGCACTCAGGAAGCTGAGGCAGGAGGATCACTGTGAGTTCAAGACCAGCCTGGGCTACATAGTGAGTTCCAGGTCAATCTAAACTACATAGTGAGACACTGTCTAAAAATAAATAAATAAAAATTTAAAAATAACTAAACAACACTGAAATACTGTTACAGGCCAGTGGACCTAGATTTTGCCTTATTTACTGTATCTACATAACAGAAATAATAACACCTTTAATAGGAAACATGTATTACACACCGTACACAAGGCATATACTAAATTCTTTACATACATTTTCTCATAAGTTTCTCAAAACAACACAATTAGCTAGATATTGTTATTATTACTATATCTCTTTTTAGTTTTGCTTTTGCAGTACTGGGAATTGAACTCAGGGCCTTGTGCATAGTAGACAATTATTCCACCACTAAGCTACATCTCCAGAACTGTTTTAAATTTTATTTTGAGACACGATCTCACTAAGTTGCCCAGGCTAGTCTTGAGTTTTGTGATCCTGCTGCCTCAACCTCCTGAGTAGCTGAGATTGGAGGCATGCATCACCACTCCTGGCATGATATCTCTTTTAAAGATGGTGAAACCAAAGTATAAGAAAGCTAAGTGAGTGACTAGCCAAATGATATACAGCTATATACCAGTATGTTTATTTTGTGCTAGGCACATTCTAGTATCCAAAGAATTATAAAAAATAAAAAGCAATGCTTATTCACGTAATTATAAAAGCCACTGCATTAGAAAGGCTTTCTCCATTAATAAGTAATCCTCTTTCAGCAACTGCAAGGCTGGGGAAATCCCAGCCTGGCTGGGGATATGGATACCAATGTTCTCCTCAGCATTTCTAACCTCCATCCTCCAAGCCACTCAATAAAATGGCTTGACTAGCTCAAAAAAGCACCAGATAATCTTTCTTTATGGTGGTAAATAAATTCAGAAGGGTTGGGCAGCTGTAATTCTCCTCTGGACTAAAAGAAAACTGATTGCTTTTATTTAGCTCCTTGTCTTTAAACCACCTTTTAAATGTGTTGCTATTCCTTCTTTTCTTTCTTTCTGGTTGATAATCTCGTTCCTATGTGATCAGTTTCATTCTCAGCTACCACCAAATTATACGTATTGTTAGTGTACTAAAAAAGATCTTATCTTCAACAAACTGGTGGTGATATTTCAAATAGTGCTTCAACACACAGAGATACCTTCAAGAAGTTCTTCATTAGTCGCTCTGCCTTTCAAGAAGATTCTCATCTTTAAGAAAAGCCCAGCTGGATTTAAATGTTCCTATTTTAAACAAAGACATCAAAATTATATTACAACTGGGATTTAAAAGACAATTTTCAAGCAATTGCATGTTTTATTCAACTACTGCATGCTGACTCTAGATCAAAGGAAATCAAAATTATAAAAAATCACATAATAACATCTGGTCTATCCCTGAGGCTATTTTCCCACATTTTATGCCATCTAAAGAAAATAATATGAGGAAAAGAACATGTAAACATTTCTATGGCATGACAAACATTTAATGGCAAGGTCAATAATTAAATTGTGTGATCCCTGGGCCACACTGTTGATGAGTGAAACCTCAAAATTCAGATAAGATTATTTTCTTTTGATATTTTAGTAAATAAGTATCTTTGAAAGCAATGGTAAAATGAAATAGTAGGATAACCCTGTAATGTCTACTATTAATAATATTCTCAGAATGATGTTTCCAAATCACTGCCAGCTGGCCCTAAGCCATCTGTATTTTCTTACCTGGCTCCACTTTTGCCTTACAAAGTATACCTTTAAACAAGTAGCTAATATCAAAAGTTCAACCTAGGCCCACAGAATGGAACTCTTTTCTCTACAACGTCAATTAGCCTTTACATGAACACTATATTCATTGGGTTCATGCTCTGCAAATAATTATAGTTATTCATGTGTGAGATGCCTTAAGAATGGAAAGTTAGGGAAGTAATCACTGGCATTTAAAAGGCTAGCAAATATAGATGACATCAATACAAAGAATGGACTAAGGTTACCAATGTTAACTATGGCATTACCATTGTGTTGGTCACCTTTCTGTTACTGTAACTAAATACCTGAGATAACTTAATGAGAAGAAAGGTTTGTTTGCTTACAATTTTGAAGGTTTAATTTCATAGTCACTTGACCCTGTTGTTTTCAGGCCTGTGACAAGGCAGTACATCATGGAGGGAGCACATGACAGAGAAAGCCAGTTCACATCATGGCCAGGACACAAGATAGATATAGAAGGAAGAAGAGATGACAGTCCCACAATTCCCTTCAAAGGCAGATCCCCAATGACCTAAAACTCTCACTTAATTCCATATTCTAAAGATCCTACCATTGACCAATAGTGCCTTGGGCTAGCAACAGTCTTTAACACATGGATCTTTTGAGGACACTCAGCAAACTATACTAACCAACTTTCCTACAGACACAATGAATATATATTGAGTTCAACTCTCATATACCTCCAGAGATGTGTGAATTTTCCATATTTTGACAGCATCTAACATACTCTCAGAAGTTTTCCTATTCTTCTCCTAGATTTCATCACTGAACAACTCCAAGGAATGAACATTTTGCTTCCATCATATTATTATGTCTTTGCTTCTATAAACATTTGTACTGTTGTTCATTTTTCTGCCTTCTGAAACTATACCTTCAGAAGTCATGAATGATTGCCTGTTAAATCTATCAACTTTCTCCCTAATATCAACATCTTTGTCTTTTCTGTCACTTTTCTCACTGATGTTTCTCATTTTCCCCTAGATTTTTGCTTGCTCTTTTTTTCTTTTTACCAGCAGTTATTGAGAAACAGCCCTCGGGTATAGCAAATACACAAGGTAGGTGTTGAATAGCCTGAGACCCATATAGACCTAAGTAATTACCTATGATCACACAGCTGGTAAGTATAGAGCTGAAATTTGAATTCAGATTTATTTGAGTCTAAAGATCATAATCTTTCCAATATAATATACTGCCTCCCTTGAAGCTCAGTCTATCCTGGGCCTGAATATTATTACACTGGTTTCCTGTAACTTCCAAAGATAATATAATAAAATGTTAAGTGTATCATATAATAAACATACCCAAGTATATAAAGCATAGATAGAGCTGGGCATGGTTGCATACACCCAGCACTCAGGTGGCTGAGGTAGGGGCATCACTATGAGTTCAAAGCCAGCCTTGGCTACATAGTGAATTTAAGGTCAACCTGTACTACATATTGAAACATTGTTTCAAGAAAAGATATACAGTTTACAGAATGTTGGAGTTTGGATTTTAAATGTTCCCCAAAGCTCCATGTGTTAAAGGGTTCAGCCTATGGTGCTACTGGGAAGTAGAGCCTAGTTGCAGGAAGTTACATCAATGAGGATATAACCTTGAAGGAGATATTGGTACCCTATTAACTCTCTCCCCGCCATCTCCTACCACCACCACCATGAGGTGAATAGGCCTCCTCTACCACATTCCCCCAACATGATGTAATACCCTGCAACAGGCCCAAAAGCAACTGGTCAACTGACCACAGATGATTGAAACTTCTAAACCTGTGAGTCAAACCTCTACTCTTCTTAAATTGGTTTATCTCAGGTATTTGTTACAGTAATAAGAAGTTGACTAACACAACTTGCATTATGAAAAGTTTCCATTTCAATATAAGCTTTAGTGCCTGTTTAGCAATTTAATAAGCATACTGTGTTTTAGCAAGCACTCAAGATAATACTTATACATGCTAGACTTTGAGGACTGGTGAATGAATATGTCACAATTTATTTACCAGTTCCACCTTGGTAGTGTATTTGAGTTCTTTCTAACCCAACTACTATTATGAATAATCCTAATATGAACATTCTATACACTTCTAGTACACAAATGCTAGAGCTTCCTCCATAGTATAATGAGGAATGAAGTTGCTGGGTGATTAGGTATGATCAAATTCAACTTTGTCAAGTAATGCTATTTGAAGTGGTTATACAATTCTCAAAACACTAAGAATGAAGAGAGCTTCCTCAACCTAATCAAAGGTATCTGGAAAAGACACAGAGAACACCATACTTAAATGTAAAATGTTGAATGCTCTACCCTAAAACCAGAAACAAAAAGTACGTTTGTTCTTTCTACTTCTAGTTAACATTCTAATGGACATTCTTGCCAGGCAATAGAGAAACAAACAAAAAAAAATACAAAAGTCATAAATACTGGAAAAGAAGACATAAAACCTATCTCTTCTTGCAAATGATAAGAAAACCCTAAGGAATCCACTAAAAACCTATTTTAAAAAAACAAGTTTAGAAAAGTTGGAGCAAACAATATCAGTATTTGAAAACTCAGCTATACCTCTATATACTATAGTGAACAATACAAAAGTGAAGTTAAGAAAATAATTACATTTACAAAATCATCAAAAAGAATAAAATACCTAGCAATAATTATAACATTAAAGGCAAGAATTACATACTGAAAATCTCAAAACATTGTTGAAAGAAATTAAAGAAAATCTAAAGAAACGTTCCTGTAGGGCTGGGGATTTAGCTCAGTGGTTCCATGCTTGCCTCACAAGTGCCAGGTTGTGAGCTCAATCCCCGGTACAAACAAAAAATCTTATATTTTAAGACTTAGTATCATTACAATGGCAATAATTCCAAAATTGATCAACAAATTCAATAGAACACTCTATAAAATTATCACCTTTTGTACAGTAATCATCAAACTGGCATTAAAATATGAAAATACACGATATCAAGAGGAGCTAAGACAATCCTAAAAACAACAAAAGAAGGAGAACTATACTGGTGAATGTGAAACTTTTTTCATAATGCTTTTTATTTTCATTCTCTAATAACTAATGATATTAAGTATCTTTTCATGCACTTATTGGCCATTGTTATATATTATTTGAAAAAATGTCTGAATCCTTGGCTCATTTACATTCGAGTTGTTTGTCTTTTCATTGAGTAATGAGTTTTTTGCATAATATTCTAGATAATAAAAATATTAGTTATATGAATTCCAAATATTTTCTCCCATTTGGTTGAAGGAGCCCTATGAATTACATTTTTACTTTCTTAATGGTTTCCTTTGAAGCAAAAATTAATTTTATCGAAGCCAAATGTTACTTAATAAATCTTATGTTACAGGTATCTCACCACAACAAAAACAAATAAGAAAATAAGTTTATAATTACCCCACATGACTTCTTTTTATATACAGACAAGATTTGCTAAAAATTTATATTGAAAAGCAAAGGAACTACATTAGCTAAACAATTTTGATAAAGATGAATAAAGTAGAATAATTACTCTATTCTTTCAAGATTTATTATGTAGCTATAGTAATCAAGACAGTATGGTAGCAGATGATGGAAAAGACACATAGATCAATGAAAAGGAAAACCTAGAAGTAGACCAACAGAAATATGGCTGACTAATTTTTTACAAAGATGCAAAAGCAATTCAATGGTGGAAAGACAATGTTTTCAATAAAAGGTTCAAGAGTAGTTAAATATTCATAAGCAAAAAAAGTAAATTTTTTAAAGCTTAAAACTTAAATCAAAAGGATTATAAATTTAAATATAAAATTTGTTAAAAGAGGCAGGAAAATACTTTCAGTACCTATAGCTTAGTGAAAAATTCTTAGACTCATGAGTAATAGCATGATGAAAATGTTTATAAATCAGTGAAATGAACTTCACCAAAAGCTTAAGAAGACAAAAAGGTAGGCTAGACTCAGAGATGCAGATTCAGCATCTGGTAAGGGCCTGACTCTCTCAGAGACTGGCCTTCTCGCAACATGTATCCTCACATGGTAGAAAAGGCAACCAAGCCTCCCTTGATCCTCTTCTAAGGACAGTAATGTCATTCCAAAGAGGTCTGCCTTTATGGTCTAATCAGCTCCCAAAGTCCCTATTTAATATTGTCATCTTGAGTGTTAGGATTTCAACATATAAATTTGTGGGGGGTTTTTTTGGTTTTGGTTTTGGTTTGGTTTGGTTTGGTTTTTTGTTTTTTGTTTTTTGTTTTTTTTTGAGACAGTATCTCACTATGTAGTTGAGACTGACCTGGAACTCACTATGTAGCCCAGGCTGGTCTCGAACTCACAGTGATCCTCCTGCTTCAGCCTCCCAAGAACTGGGATTACAAGAGTATGCCACCACGCCCGGCTCAACATATAAATTTGTAAATTGAGGAATACAACATTCAGATCACAGCAATTTTGTATTTTACCTTTCTGTGCTATAAAAGAGATTGTAACAATGTGTTTTTTAAGGAAGACTGAAGCAAATGTCTAAATTGAATTTCAAAATGTGAATCAAAACACTCAAAATGTATTAAGTCAATATTCAAAAGTAAAAACTTCTTATACCTTGTTTGCTAGAATTATAGTGTTGAGGGCCTTGTAATATACTCTGTCATCCCAATCCAAATAAACAGTGGCTAAGAACCGTAGAGTTTTAGCCTATAATTAAAAATAGAAAAAAGCATTCAGCTGAGGGTTAAACTACAACAGAACAGTTGACTAGCACTTAGACAATAAGGGACATCTTCTCAGACATAAGTTATCCTTACAAAATAGCATTTCCTTAAGCAAGCACATAGTCTCGAGATATATCTCATCATTTTATTACCCCATTCAAAATACTAAAAATCTTATAGTAATAGCTATATCTTTGGCTTATTTAAACTTAACATATCTGTGTTGATATATTTTCTTAATAGTTTTTAACATTAAAATATCTTACCATCCCCAATTTTAAAGTACTAAAACTAAGGCATGGCAATTTTATATTCATTTGTACTAGTTTAATCCTTTAAACATAAACTTCTTTAAGGGTAAATGCTGCATTTTGTTTCTGCTTTAGTCCCCATATATTACAGTGCTAGATACATAATATAGATATTCAATTACATTTTTATTTGTATACTGTAATGGTATGAAGAGAGACGGAAATTCAAAATTTCTGTTACATTATACTATATAGTGATTTTATCAGATTTATAACATAATCACATTTTGTTTGTTTAAATACGAACATTTTTTGGTACTGTAGATTAAACCCAGGGCCTTGGTACTGAGCTACACCTACAGCCCTTTTTAAAAATTTAGTTTGAGTTAGGATCTTGCTAATTTGTCCAGGGGAATGTGAATCTGCAAACCTCCAGCCTCAGCGTTCTGGGATTATAGACTTGTGCTACCATGCCCAGCTTAAATATTAATTTTAATACCCAAAAATGTTGAATCTGGATGGTTGATAGGCTACCTGGAATCTTTTAAAATGAAATAATAAAAGCTAAAATTTAGGTAGCCAAACATTGACCAAAGTGCTTTACATTTATTAACTCATGAGTAGATTATGAATTTTTACAGTATATTATATAAATTCTATAGAAAATAATGTACTAAGATATTAAATGATATGCTCAATAGATAATCTCACAAATAGGAGGCTATTATAACTTTATAACAACAACATAAACTGTATTTCTTCAATCTATTTCTCCAATATTTAATGTGATCCTTACCAGCATTTCTGGCCCAATAAAATTCCTCTCCATCTTCCCAATATCATAGCTTTGGCTATTATTAAAAAGGAAAAAAATAAATATGTGTGTGTTATTAAAATAATTTATCCATGTATACAAGATTTTACTTAATGGGCATGTTTTTAAAGTATAAGAGATATACACATATTTTTAAAATAAAATAATTACAGTAGTTTACACAGAAACAAATGCATTAGCATTATTCATTGAGCATTGTACTATTCATTCCTTTTTGAAGCTGAATGACCTAGTGAAGTTGGAGTAATTTCTAATATGCCCTAGATTCATATTTAAAATGAGAATGAAGGGATGAAGAGTAGAGAAATCTGACTTTTAGTTCTCTGCTGTAATTGCCAATCTATATTATCTATGGGATATTCTCATAAGCATAAATTATATATTAATATAAATTTAGAGCTTCCAAATCTAAAACTGAAAAAGCAAAGATCACTCACCAAAATATTGGTATTTAAAATGAAATGTGATTATGTGAATAAATCTTGGTGAATAGAACTAAATTTAAGAAAAAACAACTCCCCATAATGAATGTAATCAACATGTACTACAAACATGTACCAATAAATAGAATAAAACACTTTTCAATATAAAAAAAGTTTAAAGACCCAGAAGTGAGAGAATTGTGGCTTCAGTTTCCCAACAAAGCTATAATACAGACCTAGTCATTGTATGTCTTAACTCACAGAAATCTGTTTTATAATATGAAACCTTCTATTTTTAGTCTTTAAAATAACATAAGGAGTGGAACTTGTATGATAGTAGTATAAGGAGCTCTTTGGACACTCTCTCCAGTAAAACAACCACTCATCTAGAAAATTTATTTTAAAAATCACATAAAATCACCAGAAATTCCCCTAAGAACATAAATGAAACATTCATTCATTCATGAAAATCAACTAAGTCTCATTAGGAACAGTGAGCATCTGTGGCATTGAAACTATGATCTGCATCCATCTATCCTGGGACCACAGAATGGAAGCAACACCAGATGTGTGTGGGCAAGAAGAGGAAAATTCCTTCTCCCTCCATCCCTAGCGTCCTTTGCTATGGTTTGACCTTTAAAATGGTATCAATCAATAGATTTGGTATTTGCATTTTTACATAAAATTTTTTCTGTAAATTCTGAGATTTTACATACATAAATCATTTTATTTACAAGTAATGACAATTTATTGATCTCCTTTTTAATTCTTAGGCTTTTAATTTATTTTTGTTTTTCATTGTGTTAGTTGATTTTCTATTATAATATATAATAAATTATAAACAGTGGAAATCTTTGCATGGTGTCAGACCTAAGCTTTATCTATTCCTTATTCTGCCAAGAATGTTTTATTACATTTCAATCAAATTGCTTTAAATCTCTATTAAGATTTCTAGTCTGAACTATTAACTCTTTAGAATTTAAAATTTTTTATTTTATAAAATATTTACATTTTTGACTAACTTATTTCTGTTGGAAATAAAAATATTGCCTGTATAATACCTGTTCTTTAAAGATTTTTTGAAAACTGCTTGAGAGACAGCCTAGGTGATTCCCAGTGAGTCATGCCCTTGTATAATTAACTCCTCTTTCTCAATTTGGCTCGTTTCAAACAAATAAAATATGGCAAAGGTGATGGAATGTCATTTCCTTGATTAATTTTTATTATAGGGCAGAGAAAAGTAGATTTTGAAGATATAATTACATTCCTTAATCTGTTGACTTTATGTTGGCAAAAAGAGACATTTTCCTTGTTAGGAGTGACTTAATAAATTAAGACTTTTAAAAAGAAGGCTGGGCCAGGGGTTTGGCTTACTGGTTCCTCTGCCTTCCTTGAAAGCTCAAGGGGCCGAGTTTGATCCTCCGTATCAAATAAATAAATAAATACACACACATATACATAAAAAGAAGGCACAGACATCAGAGACTTGAATTTCTGTCATTGCTGATTTTAAAAATGCAAGCTGCCATGACTTCTACAACCATAAATACATTTTACAATTTTCAGAAGGAGCTTAAGTTAATCCTTTCTGAGTACAACCCAGATAAGAATGCAGCCCAGCCAAAATCTTGCTTTGTTGTGAAGCAGAGAAAGTTAATACACTTCATGATCAACTATACATTTCAGTGCCGAAAATATTATCTGTGCCTTGGAATATTATATACTAAAGAACTGTTGCTTGAAGTGAGTAAAGAATTCTGTGCACATCAGTGAGATAAATGTATTATCCTTCATCATTCCATAGAAATATATGCATACCCATGTTTATAACATCACAGTTTATAATAGCTAAAACTTGGAAACAGTCCAATTGCCCATCAATGGGAAACTGGATAAAGAAGTTGTGGTTTTTCTATAAAATGGAATACTACTCAGCCATAAAGAATGAGAAACTAGAGTCATTTATAGCTTAATGGATGCATATTGAGGCCATACTCAAGTGAAATAAATAGGACACACGTGTAAATACCAAACAGTTTCTCTGGTGTGAAAAACTAAAAGTGTAAATAAGATTCAAATTGTATAATTGATAACGTGAAATAGGAAGAAAAGGGCTAAAGGAGTAGGGTAAGTGGGAAGGGTAGGGCAAAGGAAATAAGGGAAAAGAAAAAATATGAGAAAAGGAAAACATGAAAACAAAGTCTTTGTAAATAGGGCAAGGTGGAGGGGGTGAAGGGAGGGTAGGGGAAAGGGAAAAAATGAGAACCAACACCTGTCATGTTAAGGTACAAGTTCCTAATGATTAATGTAACTGTGCTGTATACCTGAAAAGTACCAATAAGCTCAATGAAAAATAAATAAACAAACAAATAAATGTATTATCCTTCAACTACCTCTCTCTCTTTCTAGGAAAAAAAAAGATTTTTGTACCTCCAGATTTTTTTCATAGTCTTCCTATTTTCTAAATTCTGTACATTCATTTATAAAATTTATTCATGGTTAATCTTGGTAGACAGTGGAGTTTGAGTTACAGGTATTAAGAATCTTATGTTGAAATGCCAACTTAGTTGAAGCAAAATAACTTATTTTTCACTTAACTGCTAGATTATTTTTTAAATTGTGATCTCATTATGTCAATTCTCCTTAAACTTGTCACTGGATTCCCACAGTTCTTAAATTTGAAGCAAAATTTTCTATATAGTCTGTAAGATCTGACTTGATCTGGCCTTTGTTGATATGTGTAGCTTTGTCTCATACTATTCCCCCTCTCATTGTCAACACTACTGAAAACTGCTCAAATGATCTTTAAGTTCCTCAAATGTCATATTTTCTTCTATGACAAAGATTTTGCATGTGTTGTTTCATCTGTTTGTAAAGTTTTCCCCTGTGCTCCTTCACCTAGATACTATTCATCTTTCATATTTCAGCTAGAGAATTCTCAGAAAATCTTGTTAGCTCTTGGACTAGATCAAATACTCCACTACTTCTCTTTAATAGATCTTGTCAAAGTTACACTTCAATCTTTGATTGTTTAATAAACGTTTCTCTGCTCTTCTAAGTTACAAGTTCTATGAAATCCAGATGCTATTTATTTTTGTCCAACACTGTTGTTCCATTGCCTGGCACTGTTCTCTCATATATTACTTGCTTAAGCAATATTTATTAAAATTAGGCAGGATTTTGTAGTGGTAAATGCCAGGATTTGGGAATTTCAAACACTCCGTGTAAGACCAAATTACCGAACATCATTATACCTTAGTTTCTCATCTGTGAAATGGGGGTTTGGAAAATTAAATGAGATACTAAATGTACTATAAGTAAAATAGAACTTGGCTTATACTAAGTATATACTCATAGTTTACTGTTATCAAACAAAATGAAATACATTTTCAACTTTGCAAGCATATAACCTTTTAATACAACATACTAATATAAATATATTTATAACTTCGTGATTTATAATATAGAACATCTTAACCAAATAAGAAACTCCACTGTCCTAAGAGAACAGTATTCACTATTAATTTCATTGGCCCTTACACCTGGTAGTTCTACACGTTTCATGACGATGGTTGTTGTGCTAAAGTAGCATAGCTTGAAAAGCTACTCACAGGTTTATAAGCCTGTATATCATCATCCTCTGATCCAACCACAGGGTGAAAGTTTTGTTTTGTTTTGTTCTGCTTTGTTTTGTTTTGTTTTGTTTTTCTGGGAGAAATACTAAAACCATTTAAATATTTTACATTAAGGTTAACTGGCTAAATGTGAAAGGTTCTTCCCAGTGCTTTGTTGATTTCTGTGAAAAAGAGCAATTACAAGGAAAAGGGCACTTACAAGAAAAAGTTCAGAAAATATGTGTATCAAGAAGACATTTTACTGGGCAGGCAATAACATAGTTGTTAATTTTTCAGAAGACTTTGGATTTATTCATCTCTTTATTTTGTGTGATCATTTACAAGAACTAAGAGAACTGTAGTCAAATGCAGCCTTTAATACCAATATATTTCTGCTTTAATAGCACTTTTTCTGTATTTTGTCATTATTGTAGTCAACTAATATCTGATTTTACTATGTCTATACCTCTTTATATATTTAGCTAAAATGAGGCAAATTGTACCACACTATACAAATTGTTTTACTTTTCTAAATAATATATAAACTTACTTTGCCTTTTTTGTTGTATCTATTTTCATCTATTCTTTTTAGTGTTCTATTCCTGATTAATGATATTCCATTGTGAAATAGTAAACTATTTAACTTTTAAATTCTCTTATCATTGTACATTTTATACACTCAAAATATTCTTTTCTTACAAAATGAGAAGCAATTCACTCTATTTGGTAATTAGTTGATTTCTTCCTTCTTTTTTAATGTGGGTGTTTTAACTATCCTCTGTGATTTTTCCCTAATATATATATAAGAATAAAGGTTAAAACACTATTATCCTCATTAACTTCCTCAGGCTAAGAACATGGGTAGGAAATTATTTTTTTACATAATCTGAGTGCTTCATAATTATGATTGGGCTGAAATTCAAGTGAAGTACAGATAGAATAACTGCAGAGACTGGTTCATCACCCTAAATTATAGCAAT